AGTGATAACGAAAGCTTAAACAGATTAGTCGTTCGGAGAATATATTTAGATTGGAGGCGCTGCAGTATTTTGATGCAACTTTGATTTTTTCATGCAAAAATGCTTTTACTTCCATGCCTATGGAGCGGTTGAAGAATCGCTTTTGTTTATTTTATTAATCAACGGAAGAGAGTTGGAAAGGTAAGAAAAAAACATTGAAAACCGCACTTAACACTAATTTTCTAACACCCTTTAAATTTAGTTCAAATGCTCCACTATTTTAGCAGCCGATACATCAATTTGCAGGTAGAGCGAGTTAAATATTTGTTTTCCGGATGCGCTGGCTTGCCGGCGAATTTCATCTGCAGGATGGATTCAATGTGCATTTGGCTGGCGATTCATGATTTCGATACAAGTTGCTAATTCTGATCTAATGAGTACACACGAGAATCGATAAAACTAATCAAATTTCCCCATGAAGTGTTGGATGGCGAAATACAGGGTGTCTGGAAAATGGCATATTATTTTATCGCCCAGTATAACCATGATTTATGAGCAGATGTGTGTTTGTTTAAAAACGGTCTCTTGATAGAAGTGTCTACAGGCATTCACTTGATAATTTTTGATGAGAAAATGGTAACTGATTCTAATTTCTCGCCCCGGGAAACCCGCCGATACAACAAACAACTACGTATTTTTTCGATTTGTTCATCTGAACTTTGACGCCTTGCATTACGAAAATCGCCCACTTTTAACTCAGAAAATTGGGATTTGTTTTGCACCCCAGGAAACTGCGACAGGATTTTATGCAGACACCCTGTATTACCGAACGAAATGGCAGAAATCTCCCTGATTCTTCCGCCAAATTTGACCGTTTTGTGCCTTAGAGTAAATAAAAGGGAAGTTCTGAAAGGCAAACGCCGCATCTGATCCGACCCATGCATACCTAATAGATCGGAAAAGATCCATCCGATATGCGCATATTATTCGGGATATAAAAATGAATGAGAACAGGAAAGCGAGTGTAGGCAATACTTTTACAAGGAAACGCAAACCGATGAAGGCATAATTGAAAGGCGGTTCATTTTGCAATAAAATGCTCACTTGCACAATGCCATTCCAATGGACTTTTTCAGTTCCCGACGCCAGCGAAATTCTCCACCCAACAAAATCCGTTTATCATTCGCAGATCCGGCGTGCCATTAAAAGAGGCAAATCTCAGCCAAATAACTTAACGCTTCATGGTTCGGAACTTTTCCATTTCCATCATCAAAGTTCCCGCAAAGTTTGAATGATTCCATCAAACTAATAAGAAAATATTTTTCACTGGAGACGCGTTTAGAGGACCCCCAGGTATCGCAGCCCCGTTGAGTGCGCCAATGCGTGTGACAGCTTGACGGATCTTTAAAGCCGACGATAGCGCCGGAAAATCCCTCAGCTATGCTAATTAGATGGAGCTATGCGAATTCCACTTACAGGGGAAAGTTGGGAAATATCGGTTCGCCAGCTATGCGAAATTCACCCGCAAAATTACGCAATCATTCACCAGATTTCCTAATCAATTATTTTCCCCAGAAGCATTTTGGCGGCTTAAGCAGGGCGCTATAAAACATTGGCAGTTGCTGAGTTTACACGAACCATTTAGGATGTCTATTAAATTCATTGATATTGCTGCACAAAACCAGATGGGCGTCCAGAGCTGGCGCCTTTAGACTTAAAAAACACTTTAAAAGTGGGCTTCAGAAAGGCAAATTTCGTCATTGACTTCTGTTTTGTACGGCAAACAGATTGAGGAGATTTTGGCAAAAAATAATTCGCCCCTGGTAAGGCTGCCATCGCTTCGCATAAAAGCGCCGAAAACAGTCTGTACTAATGAAACTAAGCCTTGACTGAAATATTAATTTTATCAGATTCACGGAGACGAAATGAATTATGTGGGGGATTTACAGTCTGGCGGCAAAAAAACGAGAAACTAATCCTGTTTCCCGCTAAATTAGAGGCAGTTTTCACAGTTGCGGGCGAAATGTCGTCCACCGAATGCGCGCAAATGAAATGAGTTGAAAATTGACGATACTTGGAGTCTTTCGATTTCTTCGGCCGCAAATAAATGTTCGCACCGCACGTGCGAAACACCTACTCAAAGGACTCAGGAAGGAGAAGGAAGAAACTCAAATCGCTCAAAATGACCCAAACGATATAAGATTTTACGCATAGAGCGCATTAAAAAACATTCTTTCACATCCAAAGAACCCACAAGTTTGCACTCGTTGAGCCGTCTCGATTTTAAGCGACAATTCTTGCCTTTTGCAGACTTAAACATTCGGTATAATTGGAAGCCAAAAATATTACTAAGTAAGTTTTGACTGAAATGTTAATTTTCCCCGAGCCACGGAGACGAAACGATAAACTATCTACGGGACTTGCAGTTTGGCGGAAAAATATTTGAAACTAAGCCTGTTTCTCGCCAAATTACAAGCACTTTTCAGGGTTAAAGGCGAAATAGTTTAGCCCCAATTTGCCACATAGTTTTGAATATTAGCAAACCATATGGGCAACAGCAGGAATGGCGGCTAATTGGAAAAACTGGAACATTTTGTGTTGGAAAACATGGGTTTGCGGCTACAATTGCACGTGAAAAAGTGACGGAAAAGCCCCAAGACGTGACCGTTGATCGGTCAGCAAGTTCGAGGATTGTAATACCATTGAAATGGAACAAGTTGAACTAATTAACTGGATTTTGAGTTTCCTCCTACTATTAACGCGATCTGCACCGGGCAATTTGTGTTCCATGCTCGCCTGCATTGCCCACTGCACTAATATATTAACTAAACTTGTAATCAGAATAATGCATTGTGCTGCTGGTTAAAATGGAAATCGATATGGAAATTCCACCAGTTCGATCGATTCCACGGTCGTCTCCACTTGCTCCATATGATTGGGATATTGCGTGATGGATTAAGGCAACCCAACTCGCCTAAAGAATTCCAATTAAAGCGGATTTTATTAGGGAAATTTGTCTATATAGAATACCGTTCTCAAACTGGAATATTTTGCCGGTATATTATGAAAATGTGAGGAAAGTTAAGTTTACGGGTGCCTGCATTCCAAGATCAACACCACAAGCTGTGTTTGCGTGAAACATTTACATCAAGTCGTAGCAACGATTATTAGGTGTTTGATCAAAATTCAGCCATGAAATAACGTGCATACATTCGGCTATGCAAATAGACGCTTAAAAGCGCCGTTAAACAGATAGGCAAGCCGATGATAACTCATTTACAGGGTGGAACACATCAGGGTTGATTAAAATAATTTGAAAGTAAAGTTTTTTACCTCAATTTAAGTACCTACAGGCTTTCTCGTAAAAGTGGTAAATGCAAAATGTGTTTATAATTTCTTAAGTTTTATAAATGTGAAATAAAAAAAAGTCCTAAACGCCTTTTTTAATGGAGCATTTTATGCATTTTTAGGCAGATCGATAGGATTAATTGTCTTGATTTCAGGATAAAACAGAGTATCCGGTATGCACATGAGCAATGCGACATTTCTTGGCTCCAAAAATTGTTCTTGGAAATATGGAAGAAAACTCGAGTTCATAAGCTTTGGGCAAGTAAGGGATTCGTGAGTGATTTGGTACAAAAACTTCCAGAACTTTTTCTTTATTAGCTGGAATCAACGGGATTTGTTTGAGTTGGTGCATTAATCCTCTTTTGACATTTTGGTCCTCTCTGTAAAATCTTGTAGTATTCATAGTTTTTGCACAAAAAATTATTTCTGTTCTCTTGCCAACTCACAATTTTCGACATTCATTCAAACTTAAATTAAGTTTTTTTGTAAAATACACATGCACTTTGCTGTGCATGTGTACCGCACGTATATACGCGTATGTTTTGCTAAAAACTCGCTTTTCCTTTGCGTGAAATTTCCGATGACCGCAAGTGATGAACGCGTGAAATACGACAAACAAACAAAATCAAATCATGGAGAAAATACCAAAATTTATTGCTGCCATAGATTAGAAAACTATAAATGAAACCAGTAAAATGAGTGATTCGCTATCTGACCTCCACTCAGCTCTATACATTTTCTATAACCAATTTCTCAGATTTTCGCCGCCCTTGTAAGGCAAACTGCAGGTTTTCGGTTCTAACGTTTTACTAGCAGGCACGGCAACCATCTTCAGAACGTTAGACCCAATTCCTACAGACAACGCCCAAGGAAACCTACAGTTTTCAACCTCCTGTAGTTAATAAATCAGAAACCCCCCAAAAAAACTCCAAAGTGGAACGCTTAGGCCATAATAAGTGTGGCCTATTATTCGCGGTTGAGCAAACGATTACCGTTTTTTTAACCGACTCCATTCCGGTCGGCTAATTCGCGATCAAAATGGCATAGAATAACTGAAGCCCTCCACTAAATAAATCCCGAATTGCCGACTAATTCGGGACCTAATCCCGTCAGTCCCGTTAACCCCTTTCTATTCCACTTAACCTGCGATCCCCAAAAAATGCCGGCCACGCGTTCGCTCCAGGATTAATTGGCCGGAAGGGTCCGGATAAAAAGACGTTCAAATACTTCTCGTACCTCCGCAATGGCACTCTCTTCGGCTATATTAAATTCTTAGGTAATTTATGAGCGAGTTAAAGCGAAAATGAGACCTGTGAGGATCACACCGTTAAGCTGGTGTTTGAAAACGAGCCGAACTACAATGGGGGCACAAAGAAGAATGGTTGTTCAATTGGGAAAGAACCTCGAACTACTTCGATAGTCCTCAGCTCAATTTAGAAAAAATGATCGCGTCTCACATACAAAGACCTTCATAATTGTATTGCGGATTACGTTACTAATGCACATGGTCGCAGTTGACATTTTGTTAAAGAGCACAGGATGACCTTTCCAATGAAGCGGCAGGCAATAAAATATTTTAAAAATTAATTAAAATGCGCCTTGCCTCGTGCAGTGTCCTGATTGGGCTCATCAGCTTGGATTCATTTATTATACAAAGCCCAGTACAAACTCACCATTCATCCCGAGCATCAGGCAGGCTTCGATGGACACTGATCATATCGCTGGCATATTGGTTGAAAGCGTTCTTCAGCCAGCCATCGTCCACCATCTTCTTCACCTCTCCTGCAAGCAAGAGAACACATTTTTTTATTTGCTTTGCCACATTTTACCCTTTTAGGGCTGCTTTGTAACATGATCGATTTTGCTCATTATATGGAGAATGCCAGAAACAGTTGGCGTGAACTAGAAACGATTTCCAAGCCCCATCCATAAGTTCATCCTCACGAAAAGCGGTGACCGTTAAAGCTGAAGATCCATTTTTTAAAGGAATCCCCCTGGAATAGCCACCAAGTTAACCTCGTTTGGGGCGGTAACAAACGATCTTGGCGCCTCGTTTACTCGTATAAGATTTCTGATGGGAACGCATAGGCGGGGTGAGATAAATTCGAATTAATCGGGGCCAAAATGTCAACAAATTCAGCTGTCCAACGTTAATGAAACAACGATATTTGACCAAACAGTGCCCGAGCAATGAATCAGCGTGCACCGAGTAATTAATATCCCGCAAATTGCGAATTTCCTGGCCTTAATTAACGCATCCTAACGGTTCCAAACGCCCCCATGGGAAGACTGTAAGAATACAACTAAGGCAATAAACCCAACGGCGTCCTTATCAAAAATATCTCTTGATGCCTCCCTGATGAGAAAATAACAACCTCCCAATTTTCTCGCCTTCTCCGGTGGTCCGCCTTTTCCATAGTTTTCCCAGAGTTTCAGGGGTAATTTTCGAAAACAGCTTCGCTTTCCATCCGAAACATGAAAGAATAAGTGACCTTTGAAATTGGGAGTGCAGAAATGCGAGTTTAATTACGCCATCTGATGCGCGATTATTACAATGAAGGGGCATTTGGTAAAGTTTAGGCAGCTAAAATAAAGTAATCGAAAATTTAACTGGATTATTTATTATTATGGATTTAGGGAACAAGTTGAGCTAGAAAGTTCCAGGTTTGATTGCGAGGTAGAGCGTTAAATTGCCCGCATTTCTATAACAAACACTAGTTTAGAAATGTTTCTAGTTTTCACGCAAAAATTGAAAATTCAATATGAATGTGATTGTTTAGAAACGATTTGATTTTATTGAGAGCGGTAAATTGCGTATATTTTTAGGCCAAAGATAGTTTCACAAATAGTTCTAGTTATTGCATGCGAATAAAATGCATGTTCGAACAAAATGCGAAAAGTCAGAATTAATGCGAGTTTTTAGAATCGCTCTTGTTCGTTGGCTCGTAGTTAAAAAACCGTTGATCTACAAAGTTCTAGTTTTCATTGAGTGTTAGAGCGTTAAATTGCAAAGTTGTTTTATATCAAACGTCATTTTAGAAATGTGTCGAGTCACGCAAAATGCGAAAATTTAAGATTAATGCACGCGCATGCAACAAAAGTTGTTCTGAATACTCATTCAAAAGAACTTATATTCGTTGGCTCGTATTTAGAGAACCGCTTGAGCTACAGAGCTCTAGTT